TACTTGGTTTCTTGAACCAGGTTCTAAGCAAAATCTATGCATTGCATTTGGCTGCTTTGTGTCTCAAATTTTAAAAATTCTGTTAGCAGTCTTGTCTTCACCACCTTTGTATACCATTGATTTGTTAGGAAACTAAAAGCCGTTTCTAAAAAAAATCCCATATTCTATTTTTTTTTTTTTTTTTTTGACAGGCAGAGTTAGACAGTCAGAGAGAAAGGTCTTCCTTCTGTTGGTTCACCCCCCAAATGGCCGCTATGGTCGGCATGCTGCGCCGATCCGAAGCCAGGAGCCAGGTGCTTCCTCCTGATCTCCCATGCGTGTGCAGGGCCCAAGCACTTGGGCCATCCTCCACTGCCTTCCCAGGCCACAGCAGAGAGCTGGACTGGAGGAGGAGCTACTGGGACAGAATCTGGCACCCTGACCGGGACTGGAACCCGGGGTGCTGGCGCTGCAGGTGGAGGATTAGCTATATTCCTGATTTGACTAGCTGGTTCCTCATGTTACAATTCAACTTATTTGCTTTATTCACTCCTATGCCACTTTTCCTATGTTTTCTGTAAATTGTTAGTTTAGACTTAGATTCTTGATTAGGTTTAGGTTCAGTTTGGGGCATGTAGGGACAAGAGTAGGTTATAGGTGGTGGGTGCCATTTCATACTTATTGAATCACATCAAAAATTTTTATTGATGCTAAGATCAACCAGTGCCAGCCTGATCTCTCCATTCTTAAGTACCCTGCCAATGATCATTGCGTAAGCCCAAAGTTCTAGGTAAGAAAGTGTTGTGTTTTATATTACTTCTATATTTATTAGCTGTGATTCTAGAAAACTAACTTTTTATCATCAGCTATTCGGTTATCTTGAAATACATTTCGTATAAGAAAGGTTGGGTAGGGGCCAGCGCTGTGGTGTAGCAGATAAAGCCTCTGCCTGAAGTGCTGGCATCCTATGTAGGTGCTGGTTCAAGTCCCAGCTGCTCTGCTTTCAATCCGGCTCTTTGCTATGGCCTGGGAAAGCAGTAGAAGATGGCCCAAGTCTTTGGGCCTCTGCACCCATGTGGGAGACCTGGAAGAAGTTCCTGGCTCCTAGCTTCAAATCGGTGCAGCTACAGCTGTTGTGGCCATCTAGGGAGTGAACCAGTGGATGGAAGATGTTTCTATCTCTCTCAGCCTTTGGCTTTCTTTAACTGCCTTTCAAACAAATAAATAAATCTTAAAAAAAAAAAAAAAAGAAATGTGGAGTAAATGGCCTCTTTCCTTATAATGTAATGAATGGATTTGTTAATAATGCCCAGTGAAGGCTGGGTTTTTATTTTTGGAAAATCCTTATGAACTCCTGAAACTATATTTAGCTGACATTTTTTTGATCACTGCAGTAGGTTTATTTTTAATGCTCTGGTTGCTTTATCTGAAGTCTGAGGTCGACCCTTCAAGTAGGTTACTATATCCTTTTGATGTGACTTCAATTATCCGTGATTTCTTTTTTTTTTTTATTGGTACACCAAGATGTGTCAATCTCATCAACTGTGCACCACATTTGGATTCATCAATTTTTCCAAAACACTGTTTCAGTGAGAATATTTAGAAAGCACAATGTGGGTAAGAGGAGTATTAGTTATTTCTGGAATGTCATTACTTCCAGCTTTCAGTGGGCAGGGCTTAGAATCCATTTTTTTTTCTTTTTAAAAGAGAAGAGTAAATCATATGTTTATACTGGTCTTTCTCATTTTATGTAAGTTTTATTATAGTTTTTAAAAATTTGTCTGATTTTTTTATACTTGTGTCTGTTTTTACACTAGAAATCTTGCTTTCCAAAGGCATTACTATGATTTATATTTACTTTATTTTACAGTCTACCTATAATAATTTCAAAAAAGCATATGAATGTTGGAAATAACCTTTATTTTCTATGTATATGCTTTTAAAATTTTATTTTTTTTAGAGGCAGAGAGACAGAGAGAGAGAAAAAGAATTCCCACTTGCTAATGCACTCCCTAAATGCTTGCAATATCTGAGGGCCTGGGCCAGGGCCAGGAACGAAGAACAAGACCAGGTCTCCTACATGGGTAGCAGGGACCCAAGTACTTGAGCCATCACCTGCTTCCTTTTAGAGTACACAATAGCAAGAAGCTGGAATAGAGAGCTAGAGCTGCAAATCCAACTTAAGCACTCTGATATGGATGTGGGCATCCTAAGTGACATCTTAATCACTAGACCACCAAATGCCTGCCCCTTATTGTATTATCTTAAGGATAAATAATGTTTTGATATATTCATCCTAGTGAAATAGTTACTATGGTCAAAGAAACATAACCACCCTCTGGTATGGTTACCTTTAGTGTGTGTGTGTGTGTGTGTGTGTGTGTGTGGTAAGAACATCAAAAATCTACTCTTCAGATTTCTAGTATTCATGAAAATAGTTTAAAATTAAAATAGAATAATTTATTAGTATTTATTGCCTTTAGAATCCTATAGGAATATAAATAGTCAAAATACTGTGTTTTTTTATTTATAAAGATTTATTTATTTATTTGGAACTTAGAGTTACACGGAGAGAGGAGAGGAAGAGAGAGAGAGAGAGGTCTTCTATCTGCTGGTTCACTCCCCAATTGGCTGCAATAGCAAGAGCTGTGCTGATTTGAAGCCAGGAGCTAGAAGCTTCCTCCAGGTCTTCTCACATGGGTACAGGAGCCCAGGGATTTGGGCCATCTTCTATTGCTTTCCCAGGCCATGGCAGAGAGCTGGATTGGAAGTGGAGCAGCCAAGACTAGAACCAGTGCCCATATGGGATGCCAGCAATGCAGGCAGTGGCTTTACCTGCCATGTCACAGCGCCAGCCCCAAAATACTATGTTTTAAAGTCAATTAAATGAATTGTTTCTTTAGCGATGTTGTTAATTTCTTATACAATTCATTTATTTCAACTTAATTCAATTTTCAAGGATTTTTTTCCATTTTAATTTTTTCACTTGAATTTTATACAAAGATGGTTGAAGCAATACATATAATAGGTGTTCTTTGTATTAGCTGTGTTTCTCTAGGGTATAATTAACAAATATTTTCTTCAGATTGTTCTGTCTTTAACTTTGCTTTCAGTGTTTTTTCAACATTAATAAGCCGTTCACGTATTTTTATGCATCTAGACTTACTAATCTTTAGTCTGCTTTTGAAACTTGAGCCATATTTACTGTGGTTTTTCCATTTCCATATTAAAGAAGAATCTATCCATTTATAATTCAAGTAGTTGCATGGCTTTTATTATGACAATTAGATCTTGCATCTATTTGTAAAATATTATTTAATAATACTTTATTAAATAAAGAATCAGCTCTTTTTTTAAGATGCTGTTTTAAATACTGGGGATATAATGGTGACAAGGTCAACAGTAGGTAGTTTCTCTTGCTAATCTTCCAGTGAAGATAGACAAACCATAATGATGATTTCAGATGTTAATCACTACAGAGACAATGAAAAAAAAGAAATATAAAAAGGGACTGAAGAGGTGTCTTTCGGATAGGATGATATTTGAGCTGATTCCTGAATCACAGGAAGAGGCTTGTCCTGACCATTGATGTACAATTTAATACTTTATCCTTTTTAGTATTGTTTTTGTTCTACTTAATACCATTGGTTGAGCTATGTAATTAACACACAATTATTCTTAGGTGTTTAAAGTTAACTGAAAAGTGATTTCTGTTAAATATAAGAGTGGGAATAAGAGAGGGAGGGGATATATAATTTGGGACATGCTCAAGCTGACTTGCCCCCAGTAGTGGAGTTAGAAATGTGCCAGGGGATTCCAGTTCAATCCCATCAAGGTGGCATGTACCAATGCCACCTCACTAGTCCAAGTTATCAATTTCAGGTCACAATAGACCTTAACGATAGGTCTACGAGTCAAAGGGATCACATAAACAAGACTAGTGTCTGATAATACTAACTGATAGAATTAAAAAGGAGAGAACAATCCAACATGGGAAGCAGGATACACAGCAGACTCATAGAATGGCAGTTGTTCTAAACAGCACTCTGGCCTTGGAATCAGCCCTTAAGGCATTCGGATCTGGCTGAAGAGCCCATGAGAGTATTGTAGGCATGGAAAGCCAAGACACTCGGGGGGGGGGGGGGGGGGAAGAGGACCTAAATGAAAGATCTCTGTGAGTGAGATCCCAGTAGAAAGAACGAGCCATCAGAGAAGGAGGTACCTTTCTCTGAAGGGAGGAGAGAACTTCCACTTTGACTATGGCCTTGTCGAAATAAGATCAAAGATGGTGAGCTTAGGGGGCTTCCATGGCCTTGGCAACTCATGACTGGAGCCTGGGAAGATTGCTGACGCCTTAAACAAGAGTGTCAATTTGTTAAGTCAACAACAGGAGTGACTGTGCACTTACTCCCCATGTAGGATCTCTGTCCTTAATGTGTAGTTCAATTTGAATTAATGATATGACTAGTGCTCACACAGTATTTGGCACTTTGTGTGCTGTGTGGGGGCAAACTGATGAAATATTTACTTAATATGTACTAAATTGATCTTCTGTATATAAAGATAATTGAAAATGAATCTTGATGTGAATGGATTGGGACAGGGAGCGGGAAATGGGAGGGTTGCAGGTGGGAGGGAAGTTATGGGGGGGGGGGAAGCCATTATAATCCATAAACTGTACTTTGGAAATTTACATCTACTAAATAAAAGTTAAAAAAAAAAAAAAGACCTGGAGCAGGAATGTCCACGGCCAAGGGAATACTTAGTACAAACACATTGAAGAAGAATAGTTGTTAACTTACTAAATGCTTACTGTGAACCAGGCGCAGTGCTAAAGCACTATACCTGCATTGCCTCATTTCTTTTTTACAACAATTTGTTGAGATAGGAATCTAATTTACCCAATTGTGAGTGTGAAGTCACTGAGTTTAGGAGAGTGTAGGTCATTGGTGCCTCTCCATCCTCTACCATAGCTTTAGGGCTCAGACCGTAAAAGTGCATCCTTGATTTTGTCTCTCCAGGCTTTCATGAGAAGGACAAGAAGCCATATTGCCGAAAGGATTTCTTAGCCATGTTCTCACCCAAGTGTGGTGGCTGCAACCGCCCGGTGTTGGAAAACTACCTTTCAGCCATGAACACTGTCTGGCACCCGGAGTGCTTTGTGTGTGGGGTCTGTATAGTCTGTATACTCACTTATCCTTTGGTTTAGGGAAAGGCGAGGGTTCTCCTCTCTGAAACGAAGAACTGCAACTAGTAAAAGGGTTCAGAGCGCTGGATGAGGAACTGATGTGGGCTTCCTAATGGAGAAACAAGAGACAGCATCCATGTGGGCATTTGCTGGTCTGTTTTGTAAGAGGGCAATCTAGCCTCCATTTGTCAAGGACACACATGAAATGCATGCAGCTGGCAGTAATGTCAAGTCTGAAAATTTGACTCTGCCGATGATTTACTTCCTAACATCTGTGTTATTTCTTTCCCCCACCCCATCCCCACAGGACTGCTTCAGCAGTTTTTCTACCGGTTCCTTCTTTGAACTGGAAGGCCGTCCGTTCTGTGAGCTCCACTACCATCAGCGCCGAGGAACCCTCTGCCATGGGTGTGGGCAGCCCATCACGGGCCGCTGCATCAGCGCCATGGGGCACAAGTTCCATCCTGAGCACTTTGTGTGTGCTTTCTGCCTGACACAGTTGTCAAAGGGCGTCTTCAGGGAGCAGAATGACAAGACCTATTGCCAGCCTTGCTTCAACAAGCTCTTCTCACTGTAGTCTCAGTTGATCCACAGCCTCTTCTGATCCCCTTTAAAATTTAAAGCAAGAGGAAGGAATGGATAAATTGTTACTGACCTGTGGCTTGATAATTTTATAGAGAGAGTAAAGGTGGTGAGCAGCTAAGGGAACTGGTAGTTGTTACAGGAACAGGCTTCTAATCTTAAGTTTTAGGCTTCTAGTCTTTTTTTTTTTTTTTTTTAATCAAGTGATTGGATTTAGACCCTGCTATCAGTTCCCCATAAGACATGTTTTCACTTGTGCGATTTCTTTCACTACTGGTTTTCTTAGGTTTCTCCCTTTTCACCTTGATGATATCCCTCCACGTAACTGCCTCTTTCCAGCTTCCCCCATTTTCCCCTGTGGTTCACTGTTCCATGTTCACTGCTATGATTTTATCCTTGCTGTCAGGAATCATGAAACCACTCTTAAACTCTCCCCTTCTTCCTTCAGTGCATTTCTCTTTTTCAAGAGGAAGTGACTTTTAATTTTAATTACATCCTTGATAAATAAAATGTCTTGTGATTTTAATGACTCATTGTCATACTTGTTTGGTAGATAAACTTGCTGCTTCACATGTTATATACTGTAAACTTTGTGAATTAAATTTGTAATCCTACTTCTTGTTTCCTTCCATACAATAAGCATTTTAAAATATCAGAAGTAATTAAAAGGAAGGACTCCTATTCATTAACTTCTTTTTAAGATTATTTATTTGAGAGGCAGAGTTACAAACAAAAAGACAGAGACGAAGAGAATCTTCCATCCACTAGTTCACTCCCCAAATGGCCGCAGTGGCCAGAGCTGGGCTGATCCAAAGCCAGGAACCAGGGTCTCCCACATGGGTGTAGGGTTCATCTTCCTCTGCTTTCTCAGGCCATGAGCAAGGAGCTAGATCAGAAGTGGAGCAGCCAGGAATCAAACCCATTACCATAAGGGATGCTGGCAAAGCCAAGACCCAAAGAACAATTTCCTCTTAATTATTTTTTTCCTACCAAAATATTATAAGTAAATTTAGAGGAAAGCTTCCAGATTCTTAAGAAATTTGCCTTTCTCATGTCCTATCAGTTTGTTAATAAAAGCTTCGCAGTCATCCTTCCCCGAGAAGATATTAGTAAAATCTGTACTTGTATGTTTCTTACCACAGTCTTAAAATAGCTGTGTGATTACTTGTTACAACAACAACAACAACAAAAAACCAGTGTTTTAGAATCTTTATTCTGTAATAAGTTCCTGACAAAAACTCCTTGGTTTGAGATGTTTTTAAAAATATGAATAGAGTTCAAAAAGTCATAGAAAAATAGGATTAGAAGATAAGTTTATTTTGGTGCAAAAATATTGTGAAATCATACCAAATTTTTTTCATAGGATGCATTCTCCATGAACATTTCAAGACTCCTTTTATGCACAGCTTTCAAAATATTTTTTCACCAACATAAACTTATCTTTTAATTCTATGAACATTTTGAAGTAGCATCAAATTGGTCATCTTCATTTAGATCAGCATGGTAATAGTATTTAGAGAACAGCAATAGATTAAATGATTCTTGCCTAGCTTTATGATATCTATATTCTTTTTTGGGAGGGGTGTTAAAGGGTCTTAGAAAGTTAAAAGGAAGTAGTAACAGTTAAATCTGTAAAATAGGAACTCCAAATGTGTATAAGAAATGTGGAAGGCCACACAGAAATAGAGCCATCTGGCCTTCTATCCTGTTTGGCTAGCTGAGACTACCAGACTAAGCAAAATACACATTCAACTTCTAAACATCCTTTTTACAGGGTCTTCACTCTGTGATGTCATGTGCAGGTGTTAATATGACAGTGTTCATAGTTGCCTTGGCAATTTGACAAAGTAAACTTGGTGTTTATAAAAAGAAATGTGCAGATGCTAAAACTTTTTTTAAAATTATTTTTAAGTATTAGCTATTTTGAGATTTAAGTAGAATCTAAATATTTAAGAATATCAGAGAAAAGCAAGTTCATTAAGATCTGAACGTTAGTGGTTTTATTTATTCAAAAAGAGGTAGTGAGAAAACTTACAGAATGGAAAAAAATGTTTTTCAAGCTATTCATCTGACAAAAAATTCATATTCAAAAGTTAAAAGAAACCCCTCCCCCCCCAAAAAAAAAACCCCAGCAAACTGCAAACAAGAGACTCAAAAATGGACAAGAGATAAAACTGGACAAGAAATTTCAAAAGAAGAAATTCAAAAGGACAATAAATTTATTTAAAAATGCTCAATATCATCAGCCATCAGGGAAATATGTCAAAAACACCATAAGATAGCCTGTCTCCCCTCTTAGAATTGCTAGTACCAAAAAGACAGAAAATAACAAATGCTGGCAAGGATGTGGAGAAAAAGCAACTCTGATGCACAGCTGGTGGGAATGTAAATTAGTCCAGCCATTATGGAGGACAGTATGGAAGTCCTGTGAAAAACTAGAAATACAACTGTATGATCCAGCTATCCCACTTCTGGATATATATACCAAGGAAGTGATATCAACATATCAAAGTGATACCAGTGCCCTCCTGTTTATTGCTGCATCATTCACAATAGCTAAGATCCATATCAACCATTAACAGGTGAATGGATAAAGAATATGTGGAATATTACAAAATGAAATACTATTAGGCCATAAAAGGGATCATAAACTGACATTTGCAGTAAAATGAATGAAACTGGAGGGTATTATGTTAAGTGAAATAACTCAGATACAAAAAGACATACATTGACACTCTCATTCTGTGTCACGTGTGGAAGTAACCATATAGCTGAGCTGGGAGCTGCTGTTGTGATGTGGTGAGTTAAGCTGCCACCTGTGATGCTGGCATCCCATATAAGCACCAATTCACCACTTTAGGAACAGTCCAGCTCTCTGCTAACGCTCCTCAAAAAGCAGTAAAAGAGGGGTCAAGTGCTGGGGCCCTTGCAACCCATGTGGAGGCCCAGATGGAGTTCCAGACTTCTGGCTTAGTCCAGAAGTTGCAACCATTTGGGGAGTGAACCAGCAGATGGAAGATCTGTTTTTCTCTCGGTCTCTATCCCTGTCTTTCTTTCTGTCACTCTACATTTCAAATAAATAACATAATTCTTAAAAATAAAAGTAGCAGCCAGTGTTGTGAAGCAGTGGGTTAGGCATGTGATGCCAGCATCCTATATCTGATTTGAGTCCTGCATGTGCCAGTTCTGATCTAGCTCCCTGCTAATGAGCCTGGGAAACCAGCAGAAGATGGCCCAAGACTTTGGACATCTGCGCCTCCATGGGAGACCTGGATAGAATTCCAAGCTCTTGGTTTTGGCCCTAGTCTTTGCAGCCATTTGGAAAATGAGCCAGCAGGTCAAAGATTGTCTCTCTGTCTCTCCCTCTTTCTGTAACTGTGCCTTTCAAATAAATAAATCTTAGAAAGAAAAATAAAATAAATAAATAAAACGTTGACCTTAATGCAGAGACTGGAGACTGAGAAGGTGGGGGAATAAGAGAGGTTGGATAATGGATACCAAAATACAATTAGATTGAAGGAATAAGTTCTGGGTGCCATTATTATGTGTTAATAAGAAAAAAGTAATGTTTAACTAAATGGAAAAAACACAGTATTATCACATTTTACCCCCTGAATGTATGCACTAAAAGTTAGTGATTTTATTTAAATTTTATTTTCTATTCTAGAGATTGAACATTTTTTAAAAAATTAAGAAAGACACTGGAGTGCGTTGCAACAGAATGAGTCACACCACTGCTTGGGATGCCCATATCTCATATCAGAGGGCTGGTTCAAGTCCCAATTGCTCCACTTCTGATCCAGCTCCTTACTAAGGAGACTGGGAAGCAGCAGGTGATGTATCAAATACTTGAGTCCCTGCCATTCATGTGGGAGAGATCCAGATGATGGAGTTCTTGGCACTTGGCTTCAGCTTGGCTCAGCCCAGGCTTTTGTGGCCATTTAGGAGATGAATCAGTAGATAGAAGATTGATATCTTTCTCTTTCTCTCATTCTATCTCTATTTCAAATAAGTAAATAAGAAATTTTTAAGTAGAGAGAGAGATACTGCCAAGGAGGGATGGGAGATGGAGAAAAAGAGGGAGGGAGGGAGAGAGGGAGAGATATGCTGCCCTTTGGACCAGTGTTTTAGCAGCAAGGAAACCACTCACAAGTAAAAGTTACCCTTTTCTGTAAAATTCCAGAAATTCAGTTACTCAGACTGACCACTCATCTATTTCCTTTTGGTTCTGTGTAACTTCTAGGTTTTTTAAAAATAAAACACATCTCAAAGCACAGAGTGGTTCTGCCAATGAGCATAACTCTGTATGAAGGAATATGCCATAGATTGGCAACTTTATTCTTAAAAAGAAATCACTCAGCCGGCGCCGCGGCTCACTAGGCTAATCCTCCGCCTAGCGGCGCCGGCACACCGGGTTCTAGTCCCGGTCGGGGCGCCGGATTCTGTCCCGGTTGCCCCTCTTCCAGGCCAGCTCTCTGCTGTGGCCAGGGAGTGCAGTGGAGGATGGCCCAGGTGCTTGGGCCCTGCACCCCATGGGAGACCAGGAAAAGCACCTGGATCCTGGCTCCTGCCATCGGATCAGCGCGGTGCGCCGGCCGCAGCGCGCCGGCCGCGGCGGCCATTGGAGGGTGAACCAACGGCAAAGGAAGACCTTTCTCTCTGTCTCTCTCTCTCACTGTCCACTCTGCCTGTCAAAAAAAAAAAAATTAAAAAAAAAAAAAGAAATCACTCAACTAGTCTTGATAATTATTTTTTTAGGAGAAATACAGAGTCATCCTACATGATAGTTTGATAAACACAAAATTGTTTTTCCATGCAAGTTCTATCATGTACTCATTTTATGGTGATTGAGAGGGCTGCCAGCCAAATGCACCTGTTTTCATGACCAGCAGGGGGAGAGAGAGTGCTCTTCTCCAGCTGTAGGCAGCCCAAATCGTGAAGTCACATGGTCATCAGTGATTTTTAAACTACAGCATTCACAGATTTAGAGGCAAGACTTCATTTTCCTCTGGTAACAACCCCAGAGGTCTGTGGAAGAGTGAGCACCAAAAAATGTGGGTGTTGATAAGAGGGAATTTCAAATTCATGTGTTCCAAAGTGAGAATGTTATATAGTTTGAGTTTCAAAGTAATTCAGAGAGTAAACAAGTAGGTATTGCCTACTTGCGTCAGAGGAATATGTCTGAGAATGTCAGAGCATTAAAAATAGAGAAGAGCCAGGAATGATGGTGTCATGGTGAGGTGTGGCAGAGGGACTGGTCTTCCCTAAGAGCTTAGCATCAAGCATCAAAAGCAGCTTTAGTTTGGGAGTGTGAGAAAGGAGTTCTCCACTGTAAGAAATAAGGCGAATTCTCTTAGATGCAAGTGTCTTAAGCATAACAGGTCCTCAATAAGAGACCTCGTCTTATAACAACCTTCACAGTATCTTGGCTGGGGGAAGAAGTTGCTTTTTCAGTTTTATAAATATATATATGCTTTTTTAGTTTTATATTTCAGTTGATATATAAAACTTGTTACTAGGTAGAAC